AAGTTACGTTCTAAAAATACCTCAAGCCCAGATATTTTCTACCAACACATCACTGGAGTCTGATGTCTTTCTGAAGAATATGGACTCACACCATTTCAAAGGAAAACCACATCCACCTTGGGAGGAGGGAAACTTACCTCCACTCCGCCTTGTTATGCAGGAATGAGTTACACTGGTCTGGAAGGTTGCTGTCATTTGACATAGATTCCAGGATTGAAATGATCTGCTTGAAAGATGGCCTTTTCTGAAGACAAAGAAAAAAAACCAAACCAAAACAAAACAAAAACACAGCTTTTGCATTCATATACAACTACTGCTGTGTAAAATTATTTGCAGGAGTTTTTCAATTGAAAGACTGCAAGCAACAAAAATTGGGATGCTGCTTTCCGAACACAGCATCCTACAAGGGGACTGTAAATTTGTAAATGGGGCTTTTTTGTTCTTCCCATTGAAGAAAAGGTCAGTAGGACTCAAGCCTGAGCTTATTCTCCCATATCGACCAGTAAAACCTTTTGGTACTCAATAAGAGCATTAAACAACATTAATAGCATCAATGACCATCAAGATTCTTAATTCTAAAGAATAAAGTTTTCCTCAAGCTAAGAAGGAAAATACTGCCAAAAAGAGAAGGCCAGACCCATTAGCAACTGGTAATTAGACACATGGCCTTTTACAGGTAGTAATCCAAACTCTTCAAATGTGTGAACAAGCTATTTAGCTGCCCATCAAAAGTGGGTTTCTGGCTGCATTTCCCCTCTTGCAGAGAAGGACAGAAAACCTCTCACTTAGCTACCTCCGGAGCAGCCAGCGAAGAAGTGAAGACTGAGGCTAGACGAGGATGTCTTGCCTGACAGCCGAGCTCATGCCAGAGGTGTCTGTGCTCTTCTGTCCTGGGCTCATTTTCTGAACTTTCTGTTTCAGGGCTCTCCATCCAGCGCCCACTGTGCTCACTAGTCACGGACAGCAGTTAAAACTTCTCTGTATTTTCTACTTTCCCCTTAGTCCCACCAAAAGGAAGCTATGAAGTAGGGTAATAACTGAAAACTGAAAAAGCCACAGTTAAATGTGTTTCTTGAAAGAGCACTGACTCTGTTAGTCTGTTTGACAGACCCCAGACAAGGTTGAGACAAAAGGTTGAAACAAAATGTAGATACATAATAAGGGGATGATGCACATTCTCTCTCTATCGCGCCTGTAATTATACCATTTCTGCTAAAATTACAGATGCTGCAATTAAAACGTGCATTTTAATTTAGGAGCACAAAAACAATTAGGAACAATGCTGAGGTGTCTCTCCCAGGAAGATCCAAGTCATTTCCACATTATAAAAGAAAGACAATTTCTTTATTTTAAATGTCAAACAGCATGAAAAAGTGTCAAATGCATAACAAAAAAAAAAGACAAGCTCCCTTATACTGTAATGCTGCACTATTCGGCTGTAACTGGAGGCTCTTTGTCTGTCATTTTTTGGTCCATCTCCATGATTTCAGGCAATGGGCAGCTGGATGAGCTGTGCAGATTTTTATTGCAACAGGCAGCACTTGTCCCAGCCACCATGTGCTTACGCAATTTGGCCCCCAGCCCAACGTCCATGGAGCAGCAACCCGGGCGCGCCGAGCAGCATGGCAGCAGGTGCCTATTCAGCAGCACATTGCTTGCACTTGTTGGTCTAGTCCCAGTGTTGAAACCCAGCAGGGTCCCCCTGCGTTCACAGAGGGGCTGGCGGAGGCAGCAGTCATCCCCCTACATGCATGATGCTGCTGGACCTGCCATGGCTGAGCAGACCCTCTGACCATGTCCGGGAAGAGCATGAACCTCCCCGTGCAGGGAGTGTGCCATGCCGGGGGTACAGAGCACAAAATTCATCCCTGGCACCAATCAGGACAGACAACTCTGGTGCAGTTTTGGGGCAGGAGAACCTTCCAACAGCCCTCACACCCTTCTTGTTGCTACAGCTGCATCTCTTGTAACCACCCCAGTGGGTGTGAACTGTTGAGTGGATTCAAGAGCCTCCCCAATGGCGAGGAAGCTGCCAGACAGGAGATCGTGGCTCCCCACCAAGGTACTGCTGCTGCTATGTACTGTCCAACAGACTGGCAGGTGCGTAATGTGCCTATACTAAACTAATTCTATTTTCAGGAAGAGATGAAGGGCAAACATCCCCATGCTGCATTAATTACAATATTTTATGGCTTATTTTAGGATTCTTCTACACAACACTTCCATGAGTTTTGTTTGCTCCTTCTTTCTCAGGGGTATACTGGGAAGTATAGGGCAGGGCTGACACTAAGTGAGCACAGTCAACACTACTATCAGGCCTGCCTGGAGTAACTGGAGTGGAGCTAATGACAGAGAACAGGGCTTTTACTAAGGGCAGGTGAAAGCACTGACTGATTGATTTGGGAGGAGCAGCAACACACACTCTTTGGGTCCTACACTACAGGCAAAGGAGCTGCTGAGTTGTGCAGCTAGAGCTGGAACAAATGCACAGTCACACAGTACTGACAAAGCCTGTACATCTCTGGCTGTGCAATTTCTGTGAACAGCCACCAGCTACCCTGCTAGCTTTGTAGCTACCAGATTTACAGGTACCAGCTTTCCCTGGAGGCAAAGCTGACAGGAAGACACAAGCCTACACTGTCATGTGGGTTTTGTTGGTTTCCCCCCTAGGCAAGGATAATTTCAGATTTAATAAATGCACTCTAAGTGCAGACTGATACCTTGGTTAAAACTGGCAAGAAGTGATTGTTGAAACTGGGAGCCCAAGCTGAGAAGCTTTTTTAAAGAAAAGTCTTATTTTCAGTGGATGACTACTTGGCACCTTCTAGAAAGTCAGGCATCTCAAGTCAGTCCTTATAAGACATTCTTAAAATATCAAGGCATGAGACGCCTTTGAAAATTGTTTCCCTTTATATCTGTGATGTCTCATCCAAAAATCTTTAAAATATATGCCCCTCTAGAAATAATTCTGGCTAATGTTTTCACTGTTTCCTTCCACTCAGTATTTCTTACTAAACAGGTCTTCATAAAACCAGGATATTTAATCCATATGGCTTTCCTTTCTTGCTGCTTCTCTGTTCCCAGGTTTCTGATTTCCATCAAAATATTCAGTAATTTATAAACACCTTTGATGTTAAAATGGGGATAAACTGAAGGAACAGATGAAATGAGAAAGAACCACTCACCTGTGTTTCAAAAGCAAGTATCCCCAGTAAACAAAGGCATCAGCGATAAGGAACCTCGTTTGTACAATTATGTAGTACCCAAGCAAAAGCAGCTTGTTTGGTAGCGATTTTAACATGTGGAATTAGTTATTTAAGATACTTAGTTACCACAGAGATTGTTCTTTAATAATTACGGACTTAAAATAATTAGTAATTAACATTTTAGTAAAATGCTTTGAACCCACTAGGGACTGTTTGTTTCAACTAGCACAGTTTAAACTGCATAAAGACTACCATTACAAATATCATGTGGAGCAATGCACTACAGACATTTTTCTCCACATATGAAGAAATTCTTAAGAATTCAAAGCAAAGTTAATAACTGTGTCCACTCCCATGAGGAAGTTATGGTGTGAGCAGTGTCTGACACTTCAGCTGCTCTGCAGCAGCTCTCCAAGTGTATTCCTTAGCCCCACAGTAAATGCACATCCCTCTTTTCTCAGGGGTAAGCCATCTAAAGATATCTCATGCTTTCTGTGGGCTAAAAGTATGCATGTTAGCAATTGCTTTTGAGCAGCTGACATCCTCAAGCTCACCCCGACCTGACCTTCAGTAACTTATTCATGCATCGACTATCTGATTTTCTAAAGCTAATCCTGGCGAAAAAGGAACATTACACAGAGCAGTATTTTAGAGGAGCGTGCTCCATCTTTTGGCTCATGCAGGCCACACAGCCTTTTATCAAGGCATTTTGAGAGCTGTAAGTAGCGATCCTTTCCCAACACGTGACTGAATAAGTCAGTCACGTGCCCAAACTGTGACCAGAGATCACTCCATTTCAGTCATGTGAACAAAGCATTTATAATTGCCTAACAGAAGAGAAGCTGCATGAAAAAAGCAGCAAAGAGCAGACTGTCAGAAAAACCCATCTAACAGGAGATTCACTCTGCACACATCAGAGACGCCTCTGGGAACAATGCTCCCAGGAACCAGCCCAAACCCAGATGAATTGCTCGTGCAGCCAGCCTGATGGCTGGGCATCCCTCTTTTACAACATGCAGATCCCTCCCTCTCCTTGAAAACAGCAACAGCCTTTTGGGCACTTATTTACGTGGCTAGAGCAAGGCACAGAGTGAGCTGGTCTAGTATGTGCCGCAATTAGAGAAAAGAAGCTCCAATAATTCTTATTCTGTGGCATTTGGTAGTGATGCTGGTGCTTGGGAGTAGTTATTAAAGATATGTAGTTGCCACTGGAAAGTGCTCTTCAGTAATTACTGACCTAGAACTTAAACAGCCTACTTTGTAGACTCAAAGACTCAAAGCGTTTTTCTCCCTTCCCTTCTGTGGAGAGAATAAAGAAGGAGATATTAAGGGAATGGCATTTAAATGGGTGTTCACGTGGAAATGGCATGTTGATGATGGATCTCAGCCTTCCAGATCCATTCTGCAGGAAAGAAACTCCTTGCTTAAAAAGAAAAAGAGACCAAGAAGGGAAATCTCCTTTCTCATATTGTTCTTCTATGGCCACCCTCTGGTGATAACAAGTTCTACCTTTAGAACACTGAAGTGCTATTATTTGGGATTAATCTTGGGATTAATCTTGGTCTCTCTGAAATAGTAGCTAACTTTCTCCTGAGTTTAAAGGAACAAAGTTCTTCCTGGTGCCTTGACTTGAGAAAAAGAGCATGATTTCTCTTTCTTAACTATCCTTCCCTTCTCAAATACCTTCACAGGCAAAGGAAATGGATGCTAATCCTTGGTAATAAAGTTAGTATGCTCACGGGCTCTTTCCAGCCAGTTTTATGTACAACAGGATGGTAGCAGAGTCCATTTAAAGAAGGTAACTCCCATAATCTACAAAAGTTTTTACTGACTAAATACTCTAATTTCTCTTTTAGTTTATTCTTGTAGGGGCAGATTAATAGTGACAATGGTTTGGCTCTTTAACTTGTATTTTTACTCTGTTTTCATGGTTAAACAGTATGTTACAGTACTTCTATTATTATATTATTACAGTATAATCATTACAAAGCTCATCATTCAAAGGCCTAAGGGAAAAGATTAGGAAAGGTTTAATGTTAATTTAAAGTGCGTTGCTGCTGTTCCTACCCACATTTTAAGGATTAACTTATTCTTTACATGTTTTCAATACAAGGAAGGCATCAAAATTGGACCTTGAAATAGATATTTCATACATGATGCTCACATACATCCAAGAAAGACTGAATATTAACTATTGAAAGAAAATAGAAAAGAACAATTTTTCACTTGCTCCAAAATGGCTACATTCTTGCCATCTCACCCTATTTACTGTCATTGTCTTTAGTAGTCAGGTAAGTAGTAGCATAATAACTCTTGATTAAAAGGGACAGAGAGACATTTAGGTATAAATATGTAAACCCATTAAAAAAAAGACAGCCCCAGCTATCTTTGTGAAGAAATGTGTCTATTAGCATGCATCAGCGGTGTTAGCTCAGACTTGTCCCCCAAAGAAACACTAATACACTTAGCAAAACAAGCCGGGGGGGGGGTGTGTGTGTGTAGAAACCAAACACGAATTAAATTACCTTTGAATCAGCATCCCAACACTGGTGCATCAGTTCTGCAAAGCTTCTGGGACAACTGCTTGGAATGGTTAATCTCTAATGGAAAGAGAATGTAACAGTTATTGGAAGCATTTCCCTTTAAGCTGCTACTAATAGATTTTGTATAAGAGCAATGCAATTAAAAGAAGTAAAACACACTTATTTCTTTTAAGCACAATATAAAAACTGAGGATTGACATATTAAAAAGAAAAATCAAAATTACTAACACTAGCAAGATGTACAATTAATTAATAGACCTGTAAGGAAGGAATGGAACAAATGCACAAATGGGGTTCCGTAAGAAAGCTCGGAGACCAGGAAGTAAAAACGAGGCAAACAGCTTTTAACACTAAAACATAATAGTTTGTGGAGGTTACTGCGTGGTATTCTAAGATACTTGTCAAGATAGGTATAACATACAGTCTGCCTTAATTCCTTTCTCCCACACAGATGATCCAGCTGTACAATACTTTCAATACAACAAATGGCTGAAATATATATTATATTAAGTGAGTTAAAAAGAGTTAAGTGAAGCTCTACATGACACAAGAGATGTTTCATGAGCCTGTGGTCAGAAGGATTAATGAGGACATGCAGATCTCAGAAAGCACTCACAGAGCACAGTGAACTCATATAAATATTTCCTGATGACTGAAGACAAGGAGTTGCTGGTTATAGCCAGGACCACTGACCTCAGAGAATTAGTTTGAAGCTTGTTTGGTTTGCTTTGCTGAGAGTTTTAAACCATGAAAAGATTCCTTCAGCCAGTCTTAGAGGACTTTTAGTTTAAAGACTCTGCCTCCAGATTGGAAAGCCTAAAAGCAAATCCTTTCTCATATACACACACACAGATACCAAAGCCTCTCCAGTTGATTAAATGTGCATCCCAACAACATTACACATATAAGGAGATCCCTCTGCTCTCGCTAAGGCAGTTAATTGACTTCAGATGTTTCATAATGAATTAAAAAAATACGTAGATAAAAACAGTTCCTCAGTGCAAATGAGTCCAAATATAAGAGGGGTCAAGCTGGAAAAAGGGTTCCCTGTCCTGTAACAGGTGAGAACCAGGTATTACAGTCCTGTTCAGACCAACCTGCCAGGAAGACCTTTTGATCTGTCCTACTATTGCCATTTCAGAAGCAAAGCAGAGCAAGTTGTGTCAAAGTGTACCATTGTATTACTGCAACGTGACCTGTAAAGCCTTACAAGCCACAGCAGCCAAAGTAAGAGTTAAATTCTGCTCCACAAGCATTTGAACACCATGAAAACTGGAAACATGAGATACAGAGCCAGGGCACTGCAGGAGTACAATTATTAAAATAATGTAATACCTTAAGGTGCAAAGCTTTCTGTGCAAGAAATACACAGAAATTTGTACAATGCATAAACAAATTGTACTGGTGCTTGATCTCTGGTTGAGTCATTAGCCTAAAAATACACTGGCTCATCTTGCTACAGTATTTGTCTGTAACCCTCACTGTTCCAGGAGGTGGAAAATCAGTTGCAATCACCATTTATATGTCTCACTTGTGCAGAATGTTAGCTGTCATGTAATATAGAGGTAGCAGGTTCCAAAAGTGTCATATTATAATAAAGATGACGTTTCTCAGTAGTAATTTCTTATGAGATCATGCCTAGCATAATCTGAACTCTCACGTTTTTCTTTTCTGGATTAAAAAAAATAATAATTATATAGAAACTCTACCAGAATAAAAAGAACACTGTGAAATTATGCAGAGAGTCACAAAAAACCCATACAGAATCATTAAAATCCACTTCATTTGTTGGGCTCAGGCTTTGCAAAGGGGGATTTTTCACCCTACGCAATTACACTTTGGCCTCAGTCCCATACTGATTTTAACAAGAGACTTGCAGTGCAAAAAATGAAGGACTGGCTCAACAGCGATTCAATTCTGTTGTGAACTGGAACCATGCAACCCCACTGATGTCAACAGATTGACCTGAGAGCAGAACCTGACCCTCACACTTGCTTTGGGACACACAAACTATAAAGAAAAGTAGCACAAGCTGACTTTTACAAGGCTTATGCTGGGCATGTTCCCTAAGTCATGGCCAGAAAAAATAAAAACTATGTAAGCAAGTGCTAATGCCCTCTAAGCTTCGTGGCACCCTTCCAAAGAAGATGGTAGCAATAGGCTAGTGGTACCTGGCAGACAAACAGCTGGCTTGAAAATGTCACCCCTTAGGTTTCTTCAGCCATGAGTAAAACATGTCCACATTTTGTTCATATTGTATTTTACACAGTTCCTTGCTCTGGAAAACTGTAGAGAAATGTGTGTTGTACCCTCTGACATCTTGCAGCATATGACTACATCTCTTTACAACATTCCCAATGCCACTCTGTACCCCTTACATAAAACTGCACGTGGTAGGCATAGGAAACAAATACTGTTGATGGAAGGCTTTATGGTTCCTCCTTCAAAATGATGTATGAGGCTTTTCCTAAACTAGGATAAAGTGTCTCTTTGTGCCTCCTGCTCTGATAAACGCTGTAGAAGACCACATTCATAATCTTCGCACTCTTAGTGTAGCATTTCCAGCTAATCGGTATATCACAGCATCACTCACTGAAATTAATCCAGTCCTTGAAGAGAACAAAAAAAGAGAGGGGAAAAAAACCACCAACAAAAAATATTAAACTGGGAGGAGGAAATCTAATTCCTCTGTTTAACTCTGAAGCATTTTGAGAAACAGTTTATGTAGAATAATAGGAATCTGTATTGTACAGCCACTGCCTCGCCATTGTAATGTTTCCCAAGCTTCCGCTGTGTCTAGATAGAGGAGGTTTCATCTTTGTGGAGGATTTCCATGCTTGTCTGTGTGTGGTACAGTCACAACTTTAAATGTTTTTTAAATGTAGTTACTGTCTTTGATATCAAGGGACTATGTGTTCAGATATACGCTCACATGTCCAACTAACTGAAAGCCTCAATTTGTGATAAGAAGAAAAGCGAGGCTGGGGACACTGTACAAACGGTGTTTACACCACTGAAGTGCTTTTGAAATGGAAAGACTCTGCGTGAGGAGGCTTGCAGCTATGCCACAGCCTTGCCGATACCAGTGAGGAGCTCATCTTCAATGTAGTGTTGAACGTAGGTGGCAAAACTGTAATTTCTCTCTTTTTTTAAAACTATTTTTTCTTCTTTTATTTTTGAAATTTTCATCTAAGCGGCAGTTTCTTGTACTATAGTGACTCCTGCTGGGAGAGTTAAGTTGAAGTAGCTGAAGGTCTCTTACAGATATATCAACTCCCGGCCAGTAAAAAGATGTCCTAAACGCAGGAGATGGAGTTAAACTGTTCCCCTACCTTGGACGCAATGGCTTCTTTCATCACTAAGAACAAACCCCTAGGTTTTACAATTGAGACTGAGAAACTAGTACAGTACTTGTACAATTTTTGATCTACAGCATCACGACGTGAAGCTGCAACAATTAGATGTAAAGGGTCCATTCATGAGGAATAACATCACTTTGACCCTTTGTGTTAGCTCCTACTGCTAATCTTTCCATACGCGTGAACTTACTTTCAATTTGAAGAAGATGAAAAAGTCTTTTGCAAAACCCCAATACTGTTTTCTGATCTATGTACCTGAATGTAGAAACGTAGTCTTACCTCGTTTTTTTCCACTACAAGCCAAGCTACTTGTAATCCTTCCAAGCCTTTAAAGGGGACCTCCCTTGTTAGCATCTCCCAGAGAACCTGGAACAGAAAAAAGAAAAGAATTTTTATTTCTGTACTTTGTATTTTAAATACATTATTAAACCTTGATACAGCACTATTCTGTATCCAATTATCAGGCAACCAGTTTCCATTTGCAGGAACTTGGACCTGTGTTTGTGTGCAAGATCCTCTCACTAAATTAATCTGAATGTTTCTGCTTTTTCCTCTACAGAAAAGCCAAGATGAAAAACTGGGTTGTGTGGGGTCTAATGCCTGCAATTTTGTGAGAGCCATGGAAAATGCTTTTTACTTTCTTTGTACACTCTAAAGTTCACATTTGGCAGTTGAGACTTGGAAAGACAATGAACTACTCCTCTCCTTCTCAGCCCCAACTAGACACATCTTTGCTTTGTAGTCATTTTGCATTTAAAAATATTTCTATATGATTGCAACTAGTGCTTCTCACCAGTCAGAATATGATCCAAAAGGTATGTTGCTCCTATCATATGCCTATGAAAATATTAAATATAATTTTGCAAGCAAAACTGTAATTGTTTATCTCCAAGTATGTGATTATGTTAAACTAAATACACAGCATATAGAAAATTACTCTGTTCTCCTCAGTATCTTACAGACACACTGTCCTTAGATATAGAAAGATCTCCTAATGTCGCATGCTTTTAGCATTTTGATAACACAGTACCCAAGAATCTAAGCTACTCTGTAGAAAAGAGTTTGGCATCACCAAAAAGGCTTCAAGTCAATGAATCCAACTTGTTTTTCTGCCATTGGGACTATATATTGGAGTTCAACCGAATTAACAAGCACTTTGTACCTTCACTTGTATATGTCTTTTTTTTTTATCAGAACCTTCGTATACATATCTTGTTACCAATTATACAAACTTTTTCTTCTGCTCATATACCAGCATAACAACAAAAAAGACATCATTTATGTAGTATCTGATCAAATGCATTAAGATCCTTATACAAGTCTCTATATCCAAGTCTCTATATCCTCACTATTTGGGTTAGTACCCAGGCTTATTCCAGCTACATTCTTTTGAATGGATTCTGGCCAGCTATGAAGGTAATTAGGAAGAAAATGCGAGAATATTGGCAGATGCAGCTCAAGCAGAAAAAATGCATTGAAGCAGAGTTGGGCATTTAATCAAGTGAACAGGGTACTCCATCAATAGACTTATTTGAATAATAGGTCTGCTTGACTCAAAAGACTGATTAGTAAAGGTAAGGGTATCTTGGAAAAATAAGTAAAAGGACAGTTTTCCTCAGAATAAGAAATATATGGGGAAAGCTATCATAGAGGTATTCAACTCTCCTTTTTGCCTCAATTCATTCCTTTTAGAAGAAAGAAAAAAAAAAAGGAGGCACCTCAATTTGTAGTTCCAGTTATCACCTCTGTACTGGTAGACAAGGAAATTTAACTGTGAGAGAAGGTAATAACTTAGCAGTCCCATGTACTTCAGACAAAAAAGCAGTGTACAAAACAGCCAGTTTAAAACAAAAGCCCCTGGACCAAATCAAACATGCAGTTGAGCAGTCTTGCAGAACTACCTCATCTGTACGGCTGTACCATGAAACCACAGAGAAGAAACTCAAGTTTGCACATCAGATAGAGCAGTATCTAAATACATCTTCCAAGTAAAGAACATAAAGAAATACATGTTAAATGTCTCCAAGAGCCTTGAGCTGGAAAACTCTACTGCTCTGCTACCTTTCTTTCAGAAGACTGTAGATTGTAAGGGTTGTCCCATTTCATTCATGCACATAAGTTTGTGCAGAACATTTTGCACTAAATTCCTCTATCATGACACCTTTAGTGTATATTTCCACTGCCTGTACAGATCACTGCTTTCCTAAACCAACAGTGCTAGCTTAAAACACTTCAAGACTGCATATAGTTCAAGAGAAAAACAGCAATCTGACACAACAGAACAATTTTTCTTAATGCCTTATTTTTTACTAATAGTAGAAGAAAGTAAAAGATACAAAAGTGGGATATCGGAAATCCTTGCATTTATTTACACTGGTTTACAAAATGTTCTAACAACAATGCAAATTTCATATTCAGGCCAATGGTGTAGATAAAGCCTTTCCTTCCAATGGTGACATGCCTCTATGTTCAGTTTTATAGGAGCTTCAACCCCATCTCATGGATTAGCTACCCTGAATCATCAGCCAAGGTGAATGATTGCATTATCAGTCTTTTTAAAAGCAGCAAATGGGTATCTTCTGCATTCCCATTTGTCTCTTCCTGTCCCCAGGGTCATTCAGCAGCAGAAAAAGCACCTCAACCTGACTTACCCCGGCCTCTTTATTGTGAGATACACTCTGTTCATTTTCAGAACTGGCTCCCCAGCTCACCTCATAAGGAAATCAATCTATCTTCCATTTCTGGTGTAATTTAATTGAGACTGACGTGGTTCACTTCCCCTCCCATCTCTGATGGTGAGGATCACCTGCTTTCCTGATCACATCACATCTCTGTGATGACAGACAGCAGGTGCTCACAGAGAAACAGCCAAGCTAGACACAATGATGGAAAACAAAGCAAGATCATTTGATGTAGTGGTTTGTAAGCTGTGACCTCTGAAGATGTTGGGCTCTTCTTTGTGTACAGAGAAACAGAAAGGAGAGACAAATGTATTAATGTTCATCCTATACATGAAGCTGAGAATAAGAATTATATAGTCTTCAGAAAAAGCTCACACACTTACTTCTGTCAGCTCACCTGTGCATTTCAATTCTTATCCTCTCAACTACGTGACAACAACCAAAAGGGAAGAAAACAAAACCACAAAACCCCCACATCCCCACCCCAGTGCAAAGCCAACAAAGATTCAAAGTGCCATATAGCATAGGGAACATCCAAATGAGTAATTTGAGAAAAAGCAAACAGTCTGAACATCTTCGCTGAAAAAAAGAAATGTTTTCTCTTGGTAGGAAAGTGTTCACAGATGAGGGTCAGGAGCCACAATTAGCAGAAGTACAGCATGAGCAGAAAGTGTTGCACTCTTAGAGGTACTGCCCTTAGGCATAAAAATTAGATCAGTCTTCCCTGTGTTGATCCAAGTGGAAGTTAAAGATCTCATAATTCTTTTCAAAAAGAGTAAGGGGTAACCCCTGGAGCTGGCCAACATTCCCTCTATAAATAACATATGTTCTCATAGCTAAAGCAATGTATGAACTATTGCTAGGAGCGTAACAGCTGCTACATTTAACAGCAGTCTCTATGCTACCAATAGCCAATTAATGGTTTTACTTTTTTGTTCATGTAAGTGTTGAAATAATTCAGGTACACCGCATAAGATTTCTATGATTAAACACATTTATACTGATACACACACACTGCAGTGCACTACAAACAATTTTGCCAGGATAACATATTCTGTGCATATATTGTCATGATTTCAAAACAGCTTTTAGAGTGAACATTGTCATTCCACATATACTTTCATATCTGGAAGAGAAGCAAGGAATCATTTTTGAGCAACACACACAATGACATGCGAGTCAATTTCTGGGTTGATCACTTGTAACACTTGGTATCTGTTGTTTAGAGTATGGATTTGGAAATGGATTAGAAAAGAGAATCACAGCATGGCTGAAGGAAAGTGCAAGACCTGTCTTTGTGTTGTAATAAATCTCCTGGAACATTTAGCTTTAGCATTTCATGGCAGTATTATAAACTATTTACTACATATCTCAAAGAGAGTATATGGACCTGTTTAACCATCCATGAAGAGCAGGACAAACTAATCTGAACATTAGCTGTAAACATGCATGCAACTGTTCAAAGAGGAAAATCCATTTCAGCTGAGGAGCAACTCAGACCTGTAAGGTTGCAGAAAGACTTTGACGCTTCATGGAAAAAGCTCTCGCGCACCTTAAGCAGAATATTTAAAATCACAGACTGGTTTGTAGAAAGAAAAGCCAGTCAAGAAAAAAAAATAGCAGGAAAGAAATTAAAGAAAACCATGAAGAAGGCGACAAATATTGCAAACAGAGTTATCTATTCCTAGCATCTTACTAGTTTACATTTGAAAGGATTCTGTTCTTTGTTAACAGGACTTCAACTGAAGAAAAGCAGATTTGTCTCTCTAGCGCAAAAGCTGCTGGCAAGTGTTACATTTTGAAAAAGGATTCTTCAAATTTTGTTTTTGTAGGTGACAATCATTTGAAGAGACAAAAATACCCTTTCTAAGATTTTTTTGTTTCCAGTCTCCTAGCTAATTCTCTGATAGTCTAACACTTACTATAGGGAGATTCCAACTTTCAATGTTATATTCATGGAATCATAGAATAGTTTGGGTTGGAAGGGACCTTTTAAAGGTCATCTAGTCCAACCCCCCTGCCGTGGGCAGGGACATCTTCAACTAGATCAGGTTGCTCAGAGCCCCGTCCAACCTGACCTTGAATGTTTCCAGGGATGGGGCATCCACCACCTCTCTGGGCAACCTGGGCCAGTGCCTCACCACCCTCAGCGTAAAAAATTTCTTCCTTCTATCTAGTCTAAATCTACCCCCCTTTAGTTTAAAGCCATTCCCCCTTGTCCTGTCACAACAGGCCCTGCTAAAAAGTCTGTCGTCATCTTTTTTATAAGCCCCTTTTAAGTATTGAAAGGCTGCAATAAGGTCTCCCCAAAGCCTTCTCTTCTCTCTTGGCCTTTCCTCATAGAAGAGGTGTTCCATCCCCCTGATCATTTTCATGGCCCTCCTCTGGACCCGCTCCAACAGGTCCATGTCTCTCTTATGCTGAGGGCTCCAGAGCTGGACGCAGTACTCCAGGTGGGGTCTCACCAGAGCAGAGCAGAGGGGCAGAATCACCTCCCTCGACCTGCTGGCCACGCTTCTTTTGATGCAGCCCAGGGTACGATTGACAT